TGCAAATGCACAATCACTCTTGCAGGGGGAACTTTGGAATGATTTGAGCTCCAAGCTTTCTCATTTGTGAGCAAGACCCAGCTACTACTGCTGAAGAGCATGAAATTGAGCTGTCATTACTTACTCATTATATTTTATAGAGCTAGGAATCATTAGGAATCAAGGATGTGAGTAATGAAAAATGGAGAGGTTATTTGTATCAAATTCTTACTGTTATACCTCTCTTTCCAATTTAGTATTATTCAAATTTGTCCAAAATTATTCAAGTATATTTTATTTTTATAAAATCTTCCTTATATGTCAATATCAGAAAGGTAACTTTCATCCTATTCCCTTCTCACAGTGATCCACCTCTAAGGCATTCCTTAAAGTCTAATTTATCTCTGATTCTTAACTACCATTTTAAGACTGTTCACCTTTTCCAAATATCCCCTGCCTTCAGAAATCAATGGCAAGCTTATGCTGTTTGAGATTAGCCCCTGAAAGTGCTGCTTTGGATGACTGAAGGTCTTCTATACAATCCTTCTAACCATAAAGGATTTAGGATTTAGCAGTTGTCCTCCATAATTTTAGCTTCAGATAATATTTAGTTAGCCACCTATGGGCACAATTACATGGAAAACTGCATTTCCTAAATTCAGCAAGGTGGTTCTAGAGGTGTTATTTTAAGTTGCTTAAACCTGGATAGACATATTGTAAAGAAAAAAAATGATACTAAGTTAATAAACTACCACATAATGTAGACTTTGAGATGCATTTCTTAACTGTAAAAAGGGATAAACTTGGCCACATTGTGCAGTAGTTTATATTGGTATAAGAAAGAGTAGCTGAGGTGACTTAAATAATTTTTTTAAAATGTTATCAGTAAATACACAAAAGTAGAATTGGAGTGTAATTTAGTCTAGCATTCAAGGGGGTTATTTTAAAGAAAAAGGGGAAAGGAGGGATGAAATATGTCCAGTATGAGGGCAGTTTGAGAGAATTGGGGCTGCTCTGCCTGGGGAAGAAAGCTGAAGAACTTCTGACATGGGCAGGGAGTAATAGGACAAGGAGGAGTGGCATGAAACTGAAAGAGGGCAGGTTTAGATTAGATATTAGGAAGAAATTCTTTTCTGTGAGGTAGTGAGGCTCTAGAATCACTTGCCCAGAGAAGTGGTTGCCCCATCCTGGAAATGCTGAAGGCCAGGTTGGATGGGGCTTTGAGCAACCTGTGGAAGGTGTCCCTGGCCATGTTGAGGACATTGGAACAAGAGGATCTTGAAGTTTCCTTCCAATCCCAACAATTCTATGAAAAGATGACTCTTACAGCAGCTTGGATAATAAATTAAAGGGTGTCTTAACTGTAATTTTAATGCAACAAGGTAAAAATAAATTCAAAATAGAGTATCATACCAAATACTAGAAAGAAAGTTAACTCTCTTTGGATCAAGTAAGGATGCACGTCATTTTGACAGCAGTGCTCCAAAGCCCTCACAATTGTATATTTGTAATGTGATGGGACATTTTTTTCCTCATCCACAGACCACCGGGACAAGTAAGACAAATAGGTCTTTCTGAGGAGTGTGGAATCACCTACTGCCTTCACACTACTGATCCTGATATCAAGGTTTGAATAGTAATGCACTGTATTTATAAATTCAAAGTCAAATTGGAATTTTATGGTACTAAATTTAGTGCTCTGGGTCTCTAGTTCCACTAGCACCGCAAGATAAAACATCATTTTTTAGAACTTGAAATCTTGGACTCATTTTAGGTGTAACCATTTAGTTCTAATTGTAGAAAATCCTATGACTACCTATAAAGCCCAACATATTCACATATTTTTCCCTTCACACTGTGAAGAATTTAGTAAATACAGCCTTACTTATAAGCTTTTTCATTGAAGCCTTTGAATGGGCATGGTAGGAGAGCAAAACAAGACACAAAAAATTACTTGACTGTATTTATAAAGTTCATGATAAAGAAAAATAATTTCCAAACTGACCCTGAAAATGCAAGCTAATTCTTAGTGCACCTATTTGACAAGTACTGCTCTGGCAGGCTTACAGAACACTTAGAAATTAAGAGGAAGGCAAGACTGGAAAGAAAGCTAATTAATTAGCACTTTTAGTATCTCATATGCAAAGGACAACTTGGGCTTGTAAACAGCATTACTGTAGTATCCCTAGTGCTAAACAAGATGTGGAAGAATATGGGGGAACACAGAGGGTTCCTTCCACACAAACTTTGCTAAGGGAATAATTAGATGACAGTACTCAAAAAAATCAAGTCAATCTACTTTCAAATGTTCACTCCACTTATGAAACATGGAAATTTAGGAGTCATGGATGTTAAAAACCAGTTTTCAGCATAGCATTTGCCCTAAGCCTTGCTCCAGGCACCTGTATTAGTAGCAGAATGATGTCTAGTTTCATCCAGAGCAGCCACACTCTTCCACCTGAACACAGGCTGACTTACAGATCTTAAACCTTTTGCAAACCTGGTACTGGAATCCCTCCAAGGTTTCAGATTTTCTGCATGGCATTGATCATTTGATGCTGCTGCAGGGACAGAACAAATATACAGTGGCAAACTAAGGCTAGTTACACCTCTGCCTGGCTTCTACAAGCAGGAGTGCTTTTTGGCTCCTGAGCACAAATTTTCCTTACGGCACTGTGAGCACAATTTTGTATTCCAAAATTTTGTATTCCAGTTTGGGCACAGAACAAGATTTGGAGTAAAATACAGCTCTGTAAAGACTTCACAGTGGTATCAGAGTTTCATCTTGTAGAGGTGACTTGATTTTTCCCACAATTCATTAGGCAAATTAAATTTTGTTGTAAGAACTGTCTCACTGTTTTCAATAACAAAAATAAAATAGTTCTGTATATGAATAACTGACACTGAATATGATCCAGACCCTTTCTAGGCATAAAGATATTTTACAAATATACACTACTTAAACCCTTAAATGTAGCATGCCCCCTAATGTAAACATTAAAACTAAAGACTTAATACTCTCTTACAACAACTTATCAGAAAAGGTAGTAGAGTAGCTACATCAAATTTTGCTCTCAACATGTAAAAGATGAATTTTCAATTATTAAAACTAAGACTTATCAGTGTAACTGTTTCAGAATGTGTATGTTGTGACCATAAATTTGCTATTGTAGTACTGCTGCAGGAGTTTATCTACGATGTTAAATAGAAATGGAACACTACATAGACACTGGTGCTGTGTCCACTATGAATTTCTATATATATGACTAATAATGTGTTATGCACATATATTGCCTGTGTCTATACAGTAGATACATGCTTACAGAGATAAATGCTGTGAATAAAAATGGTTTCATACCAACTTGAAAGCTCCCACTCTGTCCTAAAGACCTATTACATAGCGTCAGACTAGACAGCAATGAGAAATGAGATTATAATGGTAAGATGAAAATGAAAAATAGCAAAAGGCAGCACTGGAAGTCCTTTTGGTGTTTTATCAATGCAATTACTGAAAGTGTGAATATTTTTTAAAAGACTGGACAGTATGAAAAAAAATGCTAAATGTGTGAACAGAAAATAACTGAACGTAATTGGACATCCTTTATAACATGTATACCTTATAGGCCTTCTTTCTAGAAAAGGAACACTCTTGTAGATTTTGCAATTACGTCATCAAAATGCATTCAAAAATGTCCTCCATCATTCTTCACACTGTTACATATGCATAGGTCAATACAGTCATAATAAGAGAAATGGAAATTTGCTCAGATAAAGAGTGTCTGATGCATGACAGTAGACTTCCACACAAAATCCAAGAAAAGAGTTGCATATGAACAAGAAATAAATGAACAAGCTTAGTGGCTTCGTTATGGAGGATACAGCTTTGAGCAGAAAATGTCATCTAAACCAGATATTCAGGACCAGAAAACTTCAATGTAAGGTACTGCACTTGTTAAACTCTGTTTACATGAGAACATAGATATCCTGCAGTCTCTACATGACGTCACAGGGAAAATTCACCTACACTTCTAACTTTTCTGCAGTTGAAATCCCTAATACTAGGTCTGAATCGGGACTTGGCTGAGTTTTCCAGCAGTTCAGCTACAGAATTCCAAGCCTTAAGCAACAAATTGTCTCAAGTTCCATCTTGTAACACAGTTTAAATACACTGCCTTCTCAGGAAGCTTTTGATCTTGAAGTTTCTCACCAGAGGGCTGTGCATGATCACAGTGTTATAACAGATCCATAGTGCTGCAGCAGCGCAGAACTCTCCCTTTTGGGAGGTGCTTGGGCATTCCCACAAAAACCTGAACTTACAGTAACCCTCTGAACTCTGTGTTTTGTGGATTTCCCCCACCCCTGAAGCAAATTGTTCTAAAATTAAATGCAAACACTGATCATCCAGTGTAGTTTCTAATCTGGCCCAGGGGATCTGTTAAAAAGGCTTGAGTTGCCCTTCAGGGGTGGGCAGTAACATGGGGAAACACCTGCAGTTCTCCCCTCACCTCTGAGGACAGCATCCTAAAAATAAGTGGTCCTCAGGCAGGACACACCTGTAAGGAAAACATGAGTCTAACAACAGATATCAGAAATACAATCAGACCTGATGAAATTAAAATATCTAATTTGTGTTATCGACCTCCTGATCCAATTTTCTTTTTAACAAGCACTAGAATTCTGATGGAGTTTATATATAAATTATTCAAAATACCTTGCTTAAAAATAGCATTTCTCTGAGAACTTCAGTTCTATTGTTTCAGGTGGGTTTTTTATGTTTTTGTTTGTTTTTTAATAAAAACAGCTAGCTCTGTAGAACCTAACTTATAACTGCTTTGATTTATCTGCCAAGGCTCTCTTTAGAATACCGTCTTCTACCCTTGGAGACCTAGTGTCAGAGCTGGGAAGCAGCCTCTCATTATACAGAAAAAGGAAAACAAAATTTCATAAAAGGAGAAAAATTAGGAGACTATTACAATGGGAGAATTAAACAGAACCTGGTAGACAAACTGTAATATACTTACAATATATTGTTTGGATCCAGAAAATTTAGACTTTTCTCGCAGAACCTATAGAAGCTACATAAGAAAGGGAAAATTGTTAATACTTATAAATTACATATGATATGAAATAATATATATTCTATTCTTTACATCAAGTAAATGAATATATTATTATTTTACTATAGTGGTAGTTTGTTTTTTAAATTGAAGGTATTTTTAAACACTCACTTTTTTGATTCGTAGGTTCTTACATATATAAAAAGAAATGATCATCTTTTAACTAACACTTTTCACTCTTATAGAGGTGAGAAAAGAAACGTGAGAAATAAAAACAAGCTTTTAAAAAAAATCTTTACATTTTCTGGTTTTCATCAACAAATTAAGAGAGTTGAAAAATAAATTTATAGAGAGATAGTAAAGACCTAACAATATTAGTATGTAAATTTTCATTTATTACTTAGGAGAAGCTTTTTGATTTTTTTGAAACGTAGATCAAACTTTTTTTTTTCCAAATTTTCCCTTACATATACTATTCCTATGAAACTGTGGAATACATTCCATAAAATGTTTTAAATAATCTTAGTTTTGGAGATGTAGATGTTTATGAAAATACCTTGCATACAAACAAATGCCATTTCATAATAAAAGGATGTTACTATAGGGACAGTTCAAGTTGTTATGGTAACAAGGTCAGTGAAAAGGGTAAATGAGCTTACAAAATGTTTGGGTATTTTTCTTTGCAGAATGTTTTATAATCAGTTTTCCCATTAAAAGCCTCTTGAACTGATTCTGAGGATAAAGTATGAAACAAAAGAATTATAGAGTAATCATTAATATTCTGAAATATAACTACCTATTTTGTTTACACTCTTTATATGTTAACACATGTGTAATATTTGTATACTCTGAAAGAAAAGAGAGAAAAAGCTCAATGAGATATCCTATTAGCCAGATGCCCATTTCAGTCTAATTTTAAAATTTGCCTAAAAAAGGAAAAAGGCCAGTCACAGTTAGGCAGTTGAAATAGTGCTTCTACTAAAAGCAGTTTTTAGGGCTCATCAGAATTAGCAACTTGGTTGAATCATGTTGTTCTGCAAACTGACTGTAGTGTTGTGCACGCCCAGGAGACAATGTCTGGGACAGCCGGAGCTCCCCTCCGCGCAGCGCGGTTGTGCTTTCACAGACGGGCTGCTGTGTTTGCCCACACCAAGCCTGGCTGGAACCACACCTGAAGGGGATGCCAGGATGGTGTGGAAGGGCACCAGAAGGAAGAGAGAGGGATGTGGTGGACTTCTGGACCACACAGGTGTGAGGCTCAGAGCAGTCTGAGGGTTGCCTTTCATCTCTGTTTCAACGGAGAGCAGCTGCAAGACAAGATATTGATGCTTTTATTCACTGACTGCTTTGAGGTCCTGACCTGATCTTTTGTGTTGCTGACCAATGTGAAACAGGCCCTATTAATTGTTATAGTGCTCTGCCAAAAAAGAGCAACCCTATTCCCTACTTTGCTGGTTTTCAACAATGGTTCAATTGGCTTTTTGAGCATCCCAGGAAGTAATTTCCACACTGAGAGTCAATCTGCCAGATAGATATCAAGTGGAAATAAATCATACTTATGATACTGAAGCAATAAAACTTCCTCTGACTGTCCAAAAAATGCATAAGAGAAATGACAGAAGTACTCCAGTTTACACACTGCAGATTTTCAATAGATGGTCACATATTTTGACCTAACTTACTCTGACTATTATTATGATGCAACCTATCTGGGGCACTTTCAGAGTAGGGAATTTGATCAAAACAGGGAAGAGCAAATGATTATTTTGCTGAAGATATGTATTATATTTTCCTTCTATTATTTTATTATTCTATAGATTTCTAAAAAATAATTTTATAATTTAATTTCTAATTTAAATGTTCCGGAGAAAAAAAGGAATCACTTCTAATTATTGGGCTGTGGGTAAGATCTAGGATATTTTTATGTAAGTAATTTATATTGGAAAAAACAGCCACTCCAGAAACCAGAATTTTTGATCAAGGGTCCAAAAACTGAGTTTGAGCTGTATTTGAAAATCCAGAGAAAGTTATAAATATATATTCTGGCACCTCATCTGAAATTGAAGAAACTTCAGATTAAATGCACTCCTTTTGGAAACTTATAACCTTAGCTCCATGAAGTAACTTCATCTGGCAACAGAGAATACTGTGACATGACAGAGCTTATTAAATACTTCTCTGTAATTAGTGCAGTGTTTGAACTATCACCTAGTAAAGTCTCAAACTGTACCAGACACCCCCACTGGCAGGTCATTAGTCAACTGGAAAACATCCCTTAATTTGGGGACTCTACTACAATAATTGACACTAAACATGATTTCTGGATGCACAAAAAGGGAATTCGCTAGACTCATGCATTCAGTGTTGATGCATCTACAATGGGTGCTGCTAGTAGAAAGTAACCTGAATTCCATCACTTGGAATACTAGTCATTTGAAAAAAAATAAAAAAAAATAATTTTTTTAAAAAAGTTGGCCAATTTGTATGAACAAAGGATAAAAAAAATAAAACCAAACACATTATGTCTTTCCCATTTCTATTATCCACAAGTCTGTCCAGCTGCTATGTGAAGTGTTTAAACAGTAAACTCTATTTAAACATTCAAAAGTAAAATATTTATTCTGTGTGTAAAACTCCTTTCATAGAATAGCACAGAGTTTCATTCTATAATCTCAGCTACTGTGTGTTTCACTGTATGTGGCAAGAAATGCTGCTATTTATAAAACCTGTAAAAATACTTCATAATTAATACTACAAATACTTGATTTTAATTCTTTGCTTATAAAGTGTGTGCAGTTAGGTGTGTCTCCAGAGACAGAGCAGTAGGTACATCCATTATGCATGGAAAAATAAGTTCATTCAGTTATAGACCAGAATAGGCAGCAGTTATAATCTAAGTTGTCTATAGTTTAATACCAGAATACTCTTGATGATGAATTTGCTGTATACACAGAATTTAACAAAAAAGTTCCAGAGATTAAACAGTTTTCAACTGGCCCAGAAGTGCATGGCTAAAGCCTTTACATAATTCTCTTCTTCAAGATGAGATTGATTAGATGTATTGATTATTCCTTCACCGGAGTGAAGCTGCTCCAGTGTAGTGCTTTTACAACCATTTGTCATAAACCAAGGCTCATTCACCCCTGTGGAAAATATTTCAGTATCTTTTGGAGAGACCTAAAATCAGAAATGTAAGTTTTGATAGTATGATGCTGTGGAGCAGCATAAATTCTCTTGCATGATACAAAAACATCAAGTATTTTATCTAGGAAGAATTGTGGCAATATTCATTGGAGTACCACTTTCTACATAGGCAGAAACCTGAAATTAAATGCAAGGATATAGTTCTTGGATATATTCGCTTTTCTTTTATTTGTTTTTGTTATTTATTGACCAAATTCAATAAAAATGCTACCAAGAAATAGTCATACAGAACCAGATCATAAAATAGCAATTCAGGTACCAACATTATTTTTCTATTAACAAAAACGGTAAATTGTACCTCCGTTTTTATTCTGTTATTCATTACTTTCTGAAAATGTTCTTCATATTGTATATTTTATTGTCCCACGTAATCTGTTCTGCAAATTGCACAGCCCACCTATTAATGTTCAGTATATTTTAACCAAATCATAGTTATGATATAGCTCTCCCAATAAAACTATATATATGTGTGTGTGTGTGTGTGTGTAAATAAGGAAAAGACCCCATTTGCATGAAAATCAAAGGCTTTCTATGTAAAGAAGTTAGATATAAGTAAGATTATATTTAATTTTCTTCAGCTCCTGAAATAATCTATGAACTACTCTTCTATGCACTGTTCAGCTAAATATTCAGATTATTTAGGACCTCTATTATTCCTTTCCTGGTCTATTTTTATGTATACACAGAGTGCTTTGTCTGAAAAGTGCAAAATGTATGCAGTGCTATTTTACTGTTCTGAAATCTCTGTTTATATATTCCAAGCTAGCTGGAACTTTTTCAAGGACCTTCATTATCTCAGACATTTTGAGAATATTTTGAAAGCTTGAATAAATTGCCTAACCACCAAATGCCTAGGGCAGCTAGGCAGTGTCTGAAGACTTAGTGAATTGAGTGACTCTTAAATTAGACATTTGCATGGTTATTTTTAATTAATCACCATATAAAATGTAATTAGCATGCACCACTTATCACTTGAATAGCAGTTGGCAATTTTTTTTTATTTTGTAAATTCTTCATAGAGCACAGAGTTCAGGAGAAAAGAGGGAATCCCAGAGGCTGATGTCAGGAATAATCAGGGGTGATTTAGTTGGCTGTAGTCCAGGATATAACATGCAGTTTATTTCATTCTTTATTGGTCAGGGTTTTTTAACTTATATGTATACAACTATCCGCGTTCATCATATTTTCCCTTTGTTTTGGAACAGTAATGCTCTTACTAAAAAAACAAAGCTGCAAGACTTGCAGAGAACCTAATTTTCGAGTGCTGTGGGGTTGGATGCTGACTGTAAAGGCATCAGGTAGTACCTAGTGAAGGGCTCCTACTGTCTTCAATGAACATTTGGTTGTGCTGGTATGGATGAAAACCCCTAACACTGCTTTAAAGTGAAGAACACACAAGAAGAGCTGTAAGGCAGGAAAAACCCCTAGATGAACATTGGGAAGCCGGTTTCTTCCTGTCTGGAGGCAGCCTGCCCTCAGCTAGGATTCAGAGGTACAGATCCTTCCTAACAAAGAAAGGAGTCGATATCAAAAGTTGTTGCACACCCCCAGCACCTCCCAAGACAACAGCTCTCACTTTCCATGGTGCCCAGAGCTGGTAAGCACTTTCAGAATCACACAGATGCACTTTTAAAGGCCACACAGAGAACATTATCTGTGCATGCTTGAACAAGCCCATCCCCTACAGTTACAAGAGATTGGTTGTCTGATCCTGCGGCACACTGATTGTCTGGGCTCATTAACATCTGTTCCTGATGACATGTCTCAAAAGAGCACTTTGTATTTGTTCTGGAACTGTAAGGATTAGAATAATA